TTTCCTCCACGGGTCATCGTCGCGAAGCCACCTTCGATGTCCCATGAACACGGTTTTCGAAGACCCGGGATCTCTATCTAGCTGGCGATACGTTGTGTCATCCATGCACCTTACGCATCTAGAAAATCCGTGGACTACCTGCCCCGCAAGATATCCGTAACCGAGATAGTCGTGCACCGTCGTGAGCAGTGCGGCTCTCATAGGGAAATATTCTTTCTCTGCGGCGTCCCACGTATTAGCTGGCGTTTTCCACAGCGTGTCAAGCTCCTCTTTCAGCAGCCCCAGATACAGATTGATGTCGTTCCCTGGTTGTTTCGGCCCTTCAATTAGCATACTCATGTGAATGTACTTCCTCTTCATGCACAACCAGGGGGGAAGGTTGTACATTCACACAAACACAGGCCAGGTGCTATGTGTGCTTCTCTGGCTGCCAAACGGATTGACTCCATCGGTGCTCGCGCCCAGCACGATGTTCCTTGGATCGTTCCCAAATTCTGGGTATTCGAAGTTCAATGCTTGCCACTGGCTCGCATCCTTAGGGTGACTCAGCATCTTGTCTTTTTTATCTATCTCCGGATCATTTGCGTCATCTTCTCGCTTCTTCTCCTCCCTATCCGCGTGCCAACACAGGAGCTTTGCTACCTTAGGATCCGCGAAATACCGCTGCAGACGAGGAGTGATCGGAAAGTACCACACCACTTTTCGAGGAGCTTTCTTCCTCTTCTTGTATCGAGTGACACCGCACACCGGACATATTGTAGACTCCGCGTGCTCGTCCCGATAAATGATGCAATTGTTCATGCACACATGGTATTTCACGTGCGGTAAATCCAGAGGACACACGATTTTCTTCGCCTCCTCCAAACTGGTCGGGCACTTGTTCCCCTTGGGAAGACATTCGTGCCAGAATGACATGTTCTCGTCGAAGCATGCGTCGGTCATTTTGTGTTTTACCTTCATCTCCAGGGCCATGAGCGTTACTTTCAGGCGGGTATCCTCGGGCCTGCATCCTTCATACAATGGAGTAACCGCGTCTAACTCAAGTTGATCCATCTTGGCTTTCTCTCGGGCGGCAGCTCTTGCGTTATCCGTCTGCTTGAGAAGCAGCTCTTGAATATGAGGGTCCTGCACCCAGCCCATCGATGGTCCAGCGTCGTCTGCTCCGCCGGCATCATCATCTTCATGATCATGCCCGTCGCCTGCTCCGGCATCTTCCTCATCATCATGTCCTGCATCTTCTACATGATGACTGTGTACAGCATCACAGTCGTGATCATCTCCTAGGGATTCTTCGTCTTCTCGCCCGCCCGAGCCGCGGTGGTTGTCTTGCTGCCCTTCCTCATTTCTTGCCCGGCCCGCATGGACGACTTCGTAGTCATCTTCATCACCTTGCCACCGATAGCCATCCATGAAACCACGCAACAGCAGGTGGTCCCGCACCTGCCCGGAATCCGGGTCCGCAATAAGGCTCTTCAGCTTGCATCTTCGACACGGACATCTTATCTCCGTCTCGTTCTTTTGAAGCATCTCGGCCTTCGCGGACCTCAAAAACCTATTCACGATGCCTTCGGTCATCGTGCGGACCATGGTCGCCTGCGGGGTAGAGCAAAACGATATTTTAGAACCAAACAAAAATTTGGCATGACCTTCCCTAAAAATAGGACCAAAAAGAATGCTTAATGCCAAAATTCTCGCCGAAACGGAAATGAATCAACATTCCGGCAAAATATTGGCAACTATCGCATATCAAATACCGATACACCTCCAAACACAAACACATATGCAACACCACAAACATATGCAACACCACGAACATACATAGATCTAGCTAGGCCGTAAAAAGTGCATGTGCACATTGTTGTAAGGAGAACAACCTAAATATAGCTTCCCCCCTTACTTACCTATTAAAACAAGGTAATTTAACCACTTAATTTGAATGAATCTATGGTGGAAATGAGGTGAAAAAGAGGAGGCACCCGAGACAAGGAGGAGGTGGAGAGAATGAAGTGGGGAGAAAGTGAGTGTGTGGGTAGGAGAGGCTGTCCCAAATATCTTGTTGCTGCCCACTTACTAATGGCGCACCTCTTGCATGGTGCGCCATTAGTAGTTACAACTACTAATGGCGCACTTAAGCAGGATGCGCCATTAGTATGTTTGGATAGGCGCACTAGTTCAAAAAAAAAATTCTATACTAATGGCGCACCCACTGCCTGGTGCGCCATTAGTAGTTACAACTACTAATGGCGCACTTGGGCAGGATGCGCCATTAGTAGTTACAACTACTAATGGCGCACTTGGGCAGGATGCGCCATTAGTATGTTTGGATAGGCGCACTAGTTCAAAAAAAAAATCTATACTAATGGCGCACCTGCTGCCTGGTGCGCCATTAGTAGTTACAACTACTAATGGCGCACTTTGCCCGGATGCGCCATTAGTATGTTTGGACAGGCGCACTAGTTAAAAAAAAATTTGATACTAATGGCGCACCCGTAGCATGGTGCGCCATTAGTAGTTTAAACTCTAATGGCGCATCAGATTGTGGTGCGCCATTAGTATATACTAATGGCGCACCATCTTTCTGGTGCGCCATTAGTGTCAATCTCATCTATAGCCCTTTTCCTAGTAGTGCTATTTTGGCCTCTATATGTACTTTTAGTACATGAGATCTCAAGGTTGGCGATGCGCAATGAGCAGTATGTAAAGACATCCATGCAAAGACATCCATACAGTTGTTGGTTGCTAAACAATATTGTGACAACTCAACTCTATTCATGATGTGACTGGGTGCTATGTTTGTGTTCATATACACGATGGTGACTATACAAGCCCCGTATTGTCTCTTATTGTGCCCAACCCCCTTTTTGGCATGAACATTTCTATATGGCACGACTTCCGTCGACCATCAAATTTTCATGTGTGGCAGAGACTATCACTTACAATATTAACATCTTGTGTTTGTACCACGAGCTTTCGGTCAAACATATTCAATTCAACATGTAGCATGAACATTCGCTACACATACAAATCACTTTCCAATGCACTTCCTTAATGTAGCATAAAGATACGCTACATCATACAACTTTGGTGGACTTGATAATAAGAGTTGTCACCAAACACTTCCGCAAGGGAGCGAATTTTTCCCCCAGACGAGCATCGTCGAGGACATTCCGACGCCTAAAATTCTACATCAACCTGTACATCGTCACTGGTGGCGTCGCCCCGACGATCACAACAAATGACACCGGGGGCAATACCGCCCCCTGGTTCCATCATAGTATCGATAACATTTTGAGGCCTGGCTATATCATACGCCAATTATGCATCATCATTGGTGGCGTCACTGCCCGATGATCACAACAAAATACACCGCGGGCAACACCATCCCCTTGTTCTCTCATAGTGTCGAGGACATTCCGGCACAATTTCCACTACATTGGAGTGCCGCTTTAGGGTGTTGACACTTCATATTTTATGGGAGCAGTGAAGCACGCCAGTGCAGCCAATGCGAATCTGTGAAACCCTTCGAGTCTGGTGGCTGGCACCGGATAGTATTACGGTCGCATCACACTTAATAAAAAAAGAACTTTACGCCAGTGGCAATATCCTGGCAAATCAAAAAAAAAAAAAACCGCTGGCTGGCACCATCATTGCATTTGGTCGCAGTGGTAATGAAGAAAAGCATTTTTTTAGCCTATGTAAGCTGTATTCCAAGGTGATTCTTTTGACGGGATTTTCCAAAGCAACATCATGCCTGATATACTCTAACTCGACTCTACTTTATGGGGGCATTACCCAGTTTTCTTCTCAATATGGGCCTGACAAGCAAAATATGCATACATGCTCAGTACGTGCATACCAATGAACAAGGCAGGCATGTGTGCGCATCAGTTTTACCGTTTAAAGAAAAATGGACCAGATAAAAGGATTTGGGCCTGCGTCAATTCCCCATCCACGCCCCCTTTCTCTAAAAAAAAGAAAAAAAAACTATCCGCACAGCTCGCTCTTCCCGTTCTCAGGCCGCTCCAATCCAACGCCGCCGCCATCAAGCTCCAGCCACGGCCGGCCTTTCTCCTCATTCCCTATCTCTACCTAGTAGCCTCCCCGTCCTCTCCAGGCCGTCTCCACCGTCAGCCTTGGGAAACCAGGACCAAGCCACCTGGGTCATGGCGACTGCGCGGGCGAGAGGAACTGCGCGGCTCCCCAATGGACGCAGGGGAGAGTGCGAGCTGGAGGAAGTGTACTGCTCGCCGGGAGCGGCGGCGACCGCCGCGTCCTTGCCGGCACATACCTAACAGGCAGGGTAAGTTCCCTCTTTGGTCTACTGTTAGTACTGTTTGCATATTCCCCACTAGCAGTTTCTTCTTGTTACAAAGTTAGTCTAATATTCACAAATTTCCTGGGTGAATTGCATAGCTTCTTTAGTTGCTATGAGATACAATGTTTACTTCGTGTATTGAAGAAGTCCAAAGAACACGTATTGAATTTCTCTACCAAGAACATTCAGAATTCCTCTTGGTGATGTACATGTTTTCTTCAGTTGAGGAATTTGACATACATGGGACTTCTATGTGACTCAACCCACAAGCTAGAAGTGCCAACTTAGTTTTACCCTGGGATACCAATTTCCAAAATCAAGGAACGCCGTCAGCCGTTCCATGCCTGTTCAATGATCCCCTGCCTGTACTCCTAAATTCTCCTTATAAAGGAAAGCATAAATCCTCCACACACACACAGAGGGTAACCCTGCACATGCAGCAGATTTGGGCGGACTGCCGATGATGTCCGTGTCCAGCCAAAGGAAAAAGTACGAGTGTAAAAAATTAAATTCAGCTTGAGCCACCCCGCTCGCACACTTAGGTGTATGAGTACTGATGAAGAATGTCTCAGTTCATGGCAATAATTCATAGTAATAATATTTCCTAAGAAGTTTATGAACTAAGTAGGAGATAATTCCATAAACTGTTTCGAGCTATAAAAAAAAATATTCCTAAGATGCTCGTTCACTTGTGAAGCGAACAAAGTGTGCCAGGAAGGACTAATCCTCTGAAGCGCACGCTATGAAAAAATTCATGCAAAGAATACATGTGTTTTGTAAAGCCCAGCTTGTCCATCTTGAAATCTTCAGTGATTTTGTCAAGCTGTTGCATTTTGTCCTGGTCCTCGGAGAAGCAGTTCTCCAATGCGATTTTGAAACTTTTTACCTTGTCAACACGCCCTTGATGGCTAGACAAGCACAGATCTGTCTGATCCTTGAGCAGTTGCTCACGTGAGCTGTTCTCCTCTATTTCCTGAAGCTCTAATTGTAATTCCAAAATCTGAGCCCTTATTGCGGTGGCACGGGATAAATAACCTTGTTGTCTAGTCTCTTGCTCGTCGAGCCCCCCCTCAAGAGATGTCGTAATAACATCCATAGAATTACAAGAAATTGACACCTTGTCAACAGAGGTTTTGACAACGGATACCCATTGTTGAATTTTCTCTCTCTGTAAAGCAATTCCCCCTGTGAGGTCAGATGTATCCCTGCTGTTGGCCTCTCGCAAAGAAGCGAGTCCCTTCATAAGTCGTGCCACTTCAAATGGCGGATCCTTGAAGAATCTCCCCCACAATGCTAAATCAGCAGTTATTTCTGAAACCACAGATGCCTTGTTCACGGGGTATTCACTCAGTAGGCGTTTAAGGTTTCTAAGATCTGATTGGACATAGTTCGCATAGCGTGCTAAAGACGTTCCCTTTAGCCCTCTTAAATCCACAGGAGTGTCGCCACTAAACTCAGTACACGGTGATAAGCTTGTGAAATTCTTGGCTGCATCTAGTTCCATCTGGTTTTGATGTAACTTCCCCTCAACACTACCATGATATTCCTTGCATTCTTTAGCAATCAATTCCAATATTTGCTTTGACTCCTCATCAAAGGATTCAACTACAAAAAGAAATAAGAGGGAGAAAGCAATATGAGTATGTAAAAAAGGGACATATAAATTAAAAAGACGTTTCAAAAGAACAGAAGATCACCTGTTTGTGTGCTCTTCATTCTCTTATTTGCACCTTCTTTAGGTTCAGCCAACCTTCTTTTAGGCGAACCAGGTGTCAGCTTACTCGCGTTGAGTTGGTTCATCTGCGATACTAAGGAAGCATCTCCTGTGGATGTTGAACTCGACAAAATATTTTGGCTATTGAAGTCAGAACCTCCTAACGACTCAAAAAGATTGTCCATGTTGAGAGAGGTGTCATCAATAATTTCTGTTGGAAGGGCGGCTATATTATTGCCTGGTGTATACAGTCTGACGTTCAATTCGTTGGGTGTTGCATCATGAATATTTTTTTCCACGGTACTGTAACACAATGGTACAGCCGGTCCCTGAAGGACTTTTAAAGTCACTGGAGCCTCTTCCTTACTCCCTTGCCCAAGTACCGCTTCTACCACGTCAAATGATTTTCCAGACCTTCCCTGCTTATTCTCTTGAAGCGTTAGTGTCCTCTCTTGAGGATTCACTGAGTTTGTCTCGGTTGCCACAGGCGAGGCGACTACTATGTCTTGCTGCCTCTCGAAAAATTTATTTGACGATGATGACACCCCACCTGTGTTGGCAACATCAACTTTTCCCACGTCACCTACACATACACACAAAAAGGTGTGAATAGAAAATACACAAAGCATGCATAAGACATGCATCAGCTTGAAATATAACCCCTTATTATCTATGAGTATCTTACCTCCAGGGGGACTTGTCATACGCTGTTGCCACTTGAGGGTACCTGCCTCTTGTGCACGCACACAAAATAATTCTGGTGCTTGAAGAAAGGCAAAAGCTTTGTTGTGCCAATCAATATAATCCACCGTGCGCCCAGGTCTTCTTCTCACGGGCTGCACATAGAAGATATGACCCTCCAGTCGATGAAAACAAAGATGTCGCCGACCCAAGAGCTCTAACGACTCCTGGCGGGAATTTGTTAGAAAACTTGGGAAATCAAGTCTATTCGTCTTCTCATCTTCTGCAAGCATGTCCAACTCCGGAACGTGCTGATCACAATTGAACATCCGGGCGAATCGGTGCGGACAATACACTTGATTGTCATAGCGCTCAACCCATCGATGCAAGACACCGCCAACACATGAGCTCATAAGTAGATCAACAGCAGCAATGGAAAGTGCTCTTGGTCCACGATATTAAGAGTGGTCGTCCCATAGGCGAATCGCTCCCCCAGATCCTGGAAAGCGTACCACGGACCTACCCAAGAAATCCAACGAGCGTAGGCTCATTCCACTTTCGTCAAACTCCCAGAAAAGATTGTGTGCTTCAACAAGGGACATCGGTTCTCGGCGCACTGAATCAATAACAAAAGGTGCCGATGGAATTGGACACTTTAGAGATGCTGATGGTGGGAAGTCTTTCATGAATGATACAAACCATCCCATTATAAAATGCCCAGGAATAAATAGGGAGCATTTACTTGCAGAAATTGACTCATACACAACCTTATGATGAAACTCGTCCAGTGTGTGGTACAAAAAGGCCAAGCTCGACACCCCAATAGCTCGACGGCTGCCTTTTGCAAGTTTTACTGCCATGATAAAAACCTCGGGGTGGATATATTGGCCCTCGTCGATGGGGATACAATACGTACATAGCCATGCGGCGATAAAAGCTGCCCGAAACACCACCGACGAGTATGTTGGGTGGTAATGCATCGCTTGGTCGCCTAGAAAGGCAGACATGCGATTATTTTGAACTTCAACTCGGAAACCCATTTTTTGTAGCAATGGATCATCCGGATCGGCATAACAATCTGCCAGCAGGGATCCGAATGAGTGGAATTTATCCTCAAAAAAGTGATTGACCCATGCTTCAATAACCGGGCTTAGGGGTAGGCATTAATGGGCATAGACCAACATATATATGGTATAAAGTCTGCACATGTCCTTGCACAGTGCCAGGCAGTGGAATATATTCTTCATATAACCGTCCAGAGAGTGGTATGCCCATGGCATCATACACTGTATGGAGTGGATATCCCATCTCTTCTTGGCTAGTAACTAGAGTGTGCCCGTTGATGTTCCAATATGTCAGGAAGGCAGCGACTAGGGAGGAATTGACATGGCAGTGATAAGTCGAGGCCATGACTCCCCGAATGATATCCGTCTTTTGAAAATATTCACTATCTTCCGGATTAAGCAACATCATGCGTGCCCATATTAGCAGTTGACGGCACACAGAAACATCTGTACGAAAACGGTGCCGATAACTATCAATCCACCTCGTCGAGGGTGACTGAATAAACTTTTGAGCCATCGTAGAAGTACGAGTGGGAGCTGCAAACTTTTTAATACCAAACTGGTTAGGCCTCAACACAATGGCCGGGCCCAACGGCACCTTGATAGGTGGTGCCCCATGACCTTCTTGTGTGCCAAGGGCAAACTGAGAAATTGATTGCGTCAGCATACGAGGTGGCATTGGGATGAGGGTCTTGCGGTCATAATACACTTCATTCACTCTGGGCATAAAACAAGAACCTGATTCAGTAACAAGTGTCTGACCTCGACCAAGGCCTAAACACTTGGCAACCTCTGTCATGATCTCGTCCACTCCTTCTGACTCTTTCAAAGATGTTTCATCATCAAGAGCACGTGGTTTCCACTCATAGTCCATGAAGACATTGAATTCTTCTCGCCAAAGTATCATCTCCCCGTCTGTCTCCTTTGGCGCCTCATCAATAGGGCCGCTGAACAATGTATAGATCGCAGGCCGAGAACCATTGGCACCCCACTGATAAAAAATATGGTATGAGAAAGTGCAAAAGGCCAAAAAAGAAAAGAAAGAAAAAGCACAGAGCATAAGTCTTGTCAGACAAAACACACTTGTCAAATAAAAATATATACCTGATCACTCTTCGGGTGTAGATTTCCTGATGCACCGCGATCAGATGGACGCCTACTACTACTGTCATCGGCGTCGGCGAGACCCTTGTCTCGATTATTATTTATCGTGGGTTCAACTTTTACCTGCGATTTGATAGCAATTTCCTTGTCTCGCAGATTATATCTTGGGGCGCCTATCTTCGCTTGAGATAAATCCATGCGGTTGGAGCTATTTTTTGGAATTTCCTCGATGTGCGCTGCGGCACCTGCGCGGCGGCGAGTACCATCCAGATGAATGTGCTTGTTCCCACGAGTTGAACTCGGCGGGTCACAATCATCAGCTGCAGAACTAACACCGGGACTTTTTGCGAGGAGCGGTCATCACCTGGTTACTCAAGATGGCTCGAGAAAAGTAACTATAGGCGAGCAAAAGAGATGCCTACTTTATAAAAGGGTAAGTCGTGAAGGGACTCTATCTCAAGTATGCTTGGCTGTAATTTATGCATGTCGTGTACACCTCAAAGTCCGATGCTTATAGGGACATATTGAGGGGGTGTTTGTTTCCAGGGACTTTTTGGTGTAGGGACTAGAAAAAGTCCCTACCAAACCAAACAGGGTGGGACTTTTTTGGGACTTTTTACTAAAAGTCCTTAGAAGCACCTCCTTGAGAGACTTTTTCAAAAAGTCTCAGGGACTAGAAAAAGTCCCAGGACTAGAAAAACAAACACCACCTGATTCACGTCTGGCCGGCTCATTGGTTTACGCTGGAGCTTGCCATACAAAAGGTACTTTTCAAATTTGGGGCAGCAATGAGAAAGTTGTCCGATTGATCGGGAAATTAATTTCACCGAGTTTAGCTCCTGTGCTTCGCCCATGAACTACACTCGGCGGGGGGCATTTGTTTGACGTATTTTTATACCAAAGTTCATAATACCAGGGCAGCACTCCATGACGTGTGGGTCCCACGCATTGCTAAATATTCATAGAGTGGAATATGTTCAATATTGGACTCTTTTGGTAGAGTTCATCATGCCAAGTACAATGGTGCAAATAGCTTATAATTTTGACAGTTGATTTTTAAAGAAATAGTCAACAAATGAGGTAAATACGTACATACAAAGCTAGCCAAATTTAGTTGTATGCACGGCATCGTGGATGCATGTCATTCCTTTTGAATATTCTATCCATAAAGGAGATGAAATAGTGATGCACAGGAAACCTGCCCATAGTACTAATAACCGTGACAAGCCAAGCCCCACATGGCATTGAGTGGCTTCAACCTTGGGTAGTTTCCTGGCAGCTCTAGCTAGCACCGATCGGTTTTGATACTAACAAAACTGCATGCGTACATGTCAATCTGCTCAAGGCAGGAAATCCTGGCAGATTTCGGCCGGGTCACGCGGTTGCAACGGATCAACGTGATCGAGAAGCCAACACCGACGTCTCACCAGCCTATAAAAAGCTCCCATCCTACACGCAGCGAGGGGCGGACGCCAGCAGGGCCACGGCCATGATGAGAAGAAACAAAGCCCTAGGCTGCGCGTCCCAAACATGGAGAAGGATTTGCACGAGAGCCGGCCAAGAAGCAAGAACACGCCGAGGCTATCGTCAAGTTTCTCATCTAATCTCACCTAAGCACTCGCTCGGAGTACGCCGATTCGCTAAACAAAACAGCGACGCCGTAACACCGTCTAGATGCCGAGGTACCCTCCATATACAAGATCAACTTTCCACCTATCCTCTAAAAAAAAGGAGGCCAGCCGCGAGAAGGGCACGAGGAAACAAGAAGCCCAGGCTGGTCGTCCCACATATCGAGAACTTTCACGGGAGCCGGCCAAGAAGCAAGAACACGCCGAGGCT